ACACTCATCACGGGCGCGCACACTAGGCTTAAGGTGCGGCCGTGCAACCTCGCACACGGATTGGTTGCGGAGAAGCACAGCCAATGACCAATAGAAATCCAGCTACAGAACACCACTCAGAGATATTTAGCTATTAATGTTCACTCGAATAATGCTAGATTTATCCGATAACTAATCGTTTTGCCAAAATTTCAATTCGCTATCAATATACGTACTGAGTAAACGTATTCCGTGCTACATGTCCGTTTCCTTTATAGCTGGGCTATAGCTTAGCTTGTTCTGGGAGTCTAGTTAGATGTAGGAGAATCTGCCATAGAGATTTCTGAGTCGGTCAGGCTTTACTAGCGTAGCAATCCGCTACAAAACTATGTCAAAAAATAACAGAGATGGGAGATTTTTACAAAGTATCATATAACTCACATAACAGTCGGTCAGTTTTAGATTATTAAATTTGAATGAGGTTTCATCATTTGGCCAGAGCTGGTTAACTATTCGACACTCAATATACTAAAAGAGATCATTGGGAATAATTACAATTTTCATTATTTAAACTTAATTTAATCTTCAAAATTTATTTGAATATAATTGTTTAAAATTTGTGATTTTATTAAAAAACGCTTTTATACCTATAGTACTGGAGAAACGCTCACTCAAAGAAGTTAGGATCACTTAATTTGATTAATTGACTGAAGAATTGGTGATTTATATAATTGAAAGCTTTGGTTATATTCCTAAAATTCCAAAATTGCACTCCCTTTTACTCATTCAAATTGGGGCATTTTTCCAGAATAATTCCGATTTGTTTTTTGGGTTATTTGTTTTGGTGTCCCCAAATCCACCTCTAATTTGAAGTGGCCTCACCTCCTCCACCTAATGTACTCTTCCCTTTAGCTCCAGTGTGATACGTATCTCAGCCACATGTCAATTTTTAACCTGAGCGCTTAATGGCCTCTTAGGATATTTTCAACTTTCTGCCACTTAGTTAATTCATTTTATGATTTGTCACATTCCTTAAATCAAAATTGTTAATTTCTGTCCACATACCTATGATTGGCTTCCTAATTCTTTCTGCTTTACAAATTTTACGGTTACTACTTCAATCATGGTCAAGACAGAAGTTGAGTCTTTTGATAGTTTATAGGCCCTTGTTTTACTTAAATGAATGACTTCAATTTTGAACATTTTTACTTTAAAATTGCTTAGTATAATAACTCAAAGATGGCTTTATTCTCATGAATGGGGAGACAGGGAACAATATATTACCTCAAGCACTTTTAATTGATCATTTATTAGGATATCTTCATTATATGCCTTTAGAAACTTTCAAAATTTGCAAGTCTACTTTTTGTTTTTTACCTCTACTGCATCGATCTTGACTAAAACTGGCCAAACATGATTTGGTTGCATTGAAGAAAAAGTATTTTTTTGTTCTCATAATTATATCAGAGTTTAGTTGTACCATTTATCAGAGAATATATTTGTAGACAGATTGAGGAAATTGGAAGACGTTTGCATAAACCAGATCAATATAAACATGGCTAAATGGTTAGATTCTCGGGTTGGTCACTATAGCTTTCCCTACTCTATTGCCTTCTCTAAGGTAAGCGAGTTGTGTGCTAATGAAGAAACAAAAGAAGGGGATTTAGCATTCAATGCTAAAAGTAGTCGGGTAAAATGAGGATTAACTTGAACTATTTATCTTTCTAAAAACGAAGATGGCCTTAAGGGATTAAAATCCTTTCGTTCTCAACATAAGCAAGCGTATTAAGCCAGTTTAGAGCTTTGATTCAACGGTTTCCAAAGTACTCTCATAGTCAAAATTAGATTTAAACCCTTCAAGTATTACAAATCGTGCAAATGGAATCGCAGACATTTGGCACATTGGCATAAAATCTAAACGGTGTATATAAGTTATGATTTTCAACTAACAATAACTCATTTATCAAGAACTAAATTGGATTGGGTTAAATAGAGACACAGTCTAAGACCAGCCTAAAATTCATGCATCGGGGTTTTCCGAAAAAGCGCCCAGGGTGGTAAACGGAAAATTTCATTTAATGAAAATATTTTTGGAGCCAAACAACCGGGCGCTTATTTGGATGGGCGAACTTTCGGAAAGCAAAGTTAGTCATGCGCTAAATAATATTAAATTGACACTAGCCAACTTCGAAATTCATAAGTTAGTCAAAAATTTTGGAAAAAGTGCATGCAGGTGAATTAAAATTTCACCAATAAAGTCTCCAAAATTGTTCAAATATTATTTGGACTTAGGGGAAATCCATAAACTTTAAATGTGCTCCAATTATGTCATAATTATAATACTGAATGTAAAGCTGAATAATATTTCAGAAAGCACTAAACTATTTAAGTGTTAAAGAGCAGCTTCATCGTTAACCTGTATTCTCACGTTTAATAAACGTTATCACATTCCTCCCTAATACTGATTTGGGTCTAGCCCATTGCATTGTAGAGAGGCTGAATGAACATTTCACATGGGTGGACCGAATTATTGTTAGTGTATCGCTTCTCTGGACCTCAATATTTTAATAAATTATTCTTTGTGTTCTTATCCAGAGAAAATTATTAAAAATGTACGCCAAAAATATTGTCATAAAATTAACACTCTAGAAAATTAACGGATTTAGTGGACAAACAGAACCATTCAGAAAGTATCAGAGACGAAGAAACAATAAAATTAAATTTTATAACTTTAAAATCTTGAATTGTATGTACTTTGGTTTAGGGACAAAAATTAAACAAAGTAACTGATTTGGGTGGCAAAGAACAATGAATAGAGCGTTTCTCCATAAAGAAACTTTATAAAAGTTTACATAAGTCCAGAAAACGATAAAAGCAGAATTTGAGATTTGGACGGAAATCAAGAAACAGATTTTAATTTACACATAACAGAGATCCTAAACTCGTCTATCAATTGTCAACAGAAGATAGATGACAATGGCCAAATAGACCACAACATGACGATTTTCCATGTTTCTTTGGTTATTCAACCTTGAAACGCTCTTAGATTTCAGCATTTAGCACTCTTAAAAGGTAACATGAAATTTGGTTGTGAAAAGATATTCCGACGAAACGGATGCATCAGCTACAAAAACAAAGAAACGTTCACAAGTAATAGCGTCGAAAATTATTTGTTGAAATTTCAATGTATTCAAATGCAAACAATTTTATTTGAATTTGAATTTTGTTTACGAACATTGCAAGTTATGCTTTTGTCACAAATTATGAACAAAACAATTATATTTCAATTAAATATATCTAAACAACAAATCATATATAACAAAATTGATATGACACTTTTTTGCAAAATATTTACGCATAAAACGATGATTATTTTACTACCCTTGATGATTGTGCGCTGTTCAAAACTATGGCGAAGCCAATACCTCCTGCTTATTTGCGAACAAAGCTAATACCACATGCCCAGCAGGTGTGCAGTCTCTACAAAGCTGCTATTTATAATATAAAGGCCCTTAAATTGAACAAGTTCGTAATGTCAGCGTATAATTTTATTCTTCCTTATTAGTTTTGAATACCGGTATGAAGCTGTGCTTTTGCGTGCTCGTTTTGATCAGAATAGGAATGTAACAGATCCAAAACAAGCTAAGAAGCTTTTGGATGATGGCTGGAAAGAATTGCAAAAGAATAAGGCTGCTTTCCCGTACCTATGTATGTTACCCTTTTGAAATTGACAAATTTAGATCCGACCTCTCCCGGTGGTGTTGCTTATGAACGCTACGACTTTCATCAGCCGGATTATGTAAGTTTTTAGAAAAAGCTATGCAGATATGTGCTATTTTAGTTTCTTGATCTTTGGCATCCTTTGGAAAAACAACAATATCCTGACTACTTCGCTCTTCGTGAGAAGCGGAAGGCGGAGTTTATTGAGCGCTGGAAGAAGAGATACGGCGAACCAAAGGAAGATGAAGGAGGACATTAAGATTGTACTTACTGTTCTGTAATTTGTAGTTACTAAGGCAAGTTAATAAATAAGTTCTTTATGCTAGATTGCTTCTACTTTTTTTATATTAACATTCGATAAAATTTATATAACCTTATTTATGAAAAATTTAATTTTTGCAAATCTTTATTCCCCATTTTATTTTGATCAAAGAATATCTCTGTGGATACTGTAAAAGATATGTAATAAATTTGCTTATTCAACTTAGTATAGTTAATAATTTACTTTTATGAAATTTTAATATTTAGAGAACTACAATGGTGTGTGTTACATTTATTGATGTACAATGGTCAAAGTGCTCTTCTGCCAAGCCTTTACCAAGAGGCTGTCCCACTTACACTGGCTCCATAATGTTCACCACGACTAATGTGATAGCGACAGCCATTTTTTCAGTTAATGCGGTTTGGCCACTTGAAGATTTTAAGTCTTAAGCTTAGATTAGCAGCTATCAGCTAGCGACGGCAAAAAAGCAGGGAGACAATTCCCAAAAAGAAGCACAACACCAAGAGTTACGAGTGGACTGAGTGTATTGGAAGACCACAATTTAGATTTGATCAAGAAAAATAGATGATACGAGAGGAGAGAGGCGTAATGGTAGACAATCGATAGGTAAAAGCGTCTGTGTTTAGACAATGGTTTCTATAGCTTCATCAAGGAAGGCTAGTTTAAGCAAGTGAAATAACCCTGATTGGACTCGTTCAAGTATATCGCAACAAGGTTAATCATAAGGATTTAAATTGCTGTCTTATAAAGGATGAAATTAAGTAAGTGAAAACTAAGATAAAATTGTCACTCAAGTGACCTAAATAAACGATTGGAAATTAGACGTGTTACTACTATGTATTTCTTTCTATTTACGTAAGAAATACTATATTGATGCTCCTTGAAGAGAAACCATGTGTACAATTTGGGGAGGTTAAGAAAGATGCAATCAGTGATGACATAAAATGGCATGATGTGATTAAAGTAAGTCCAAAAATTATTTTGATTTCATTCAAGGAGTTCTTTGAATTATGAATAATCATATCCACTTTTTTACCTCGTAGCGATATTGCACCTTCTGGAGGTCGAAGTATTTTTTGAAATACACGATAAAATAAAACTGGTTATGCATATTTTATAAATAAAATAAGGTTTTATGCAATTCCATACTTTTGCGGTAAGCATCCACTAAAAGTGTCTTTCATAAAGCCTTAGTAAAGTGGAAGAGGTGAATGCAGCATTATGGATTCTTGGAGATATGTAAATGTAGTAACCATAGGAACACTGCAAAGGTGAGATATATCCCATCTTATAAGAAACTGACTAATTATCAGACGTATGAATAAAAGCCGGAATGGTTAGGTAATGAGAAGGGTAATTATTACAGTGGAAGCAGTTCTAATATAGTAAAAGCTTTGCATTAGCTTAACAGCTTGAAGTAAGTGCGACACAAGCAAATTCCATCTGACGCAATCAATTCAATTTATTGATTTAGAACATGAATCCCACATTTCTGCAATAACACTAACTAATAATGACTGACTATCAATTGTTTAAGATGGCAAAAAGCGTCAAAAAATTTAATATAATAACTCAAGTTGGCCATTAGGACGTATATTCAAATAAACAGTGAAATTAAGAAAGATATGTCTACATTAGAAGTGAAACCCTCAGCAAGTTTGGTTGGCTTAAAATTGACCGAAGCAAAGGCATTTGTATATTAATGAATAATGACAAGAATTGTTGAAGATTTAAGTTTACTGTTCTAATATTTCCTGAGTAATTTGAGGTCGTGGTGATGGTATCAATATTTTGGCCTAAAAAATATATTGAAGTTTTCTGAAACAAAGTTAATAAAAATGGTATAGTTTTAAAATGAGTTGGAATCTCCTCTGAATAATATAATTAATTACTTTATTCATAAACAGTCACATTATTTTGTAGTAGATTAGTTTTGGCAAAATTAACTCATAAATGGACGAATATGATTAAACATATTCACCTATATCCACACACTTATTATCAAGAGAAGATGAAGTATAATTTTATTAAAAATATACCATAATAAAAAATTTTGACGTATTACATTTGAAACAAAGCTTAAAGATTTCTAAAAACGGAAAAAATATTGTGAATATTTAAATACTGTTTTATGCTAATAACTACACTATTGTCAAGGTGGTCGCAAGATTTAGTTAAAATGGATGCGGCCGGTTCTGCCGTCGGTTCGTCTAGGTTTCAGTATGCCTTCACAGAATTGTATAGTCTCTCGGAGGGTCAGCACAATATTATTGCTGTTGTTAAATTTTTCAAGCCTCCCCAGAAAACCGCGGGGAGTGGATTTTCAATGTTCGCCTCGGTTAGTGACCCATCTCTAAAAGGTGAAAAATTCGGCATTACCTTTGTAAGCAACAGTATCGACAGACTGCCGCCGGTTTGCAAACCTTTGTTGGTTATTTTTCAATAGATTCAATCTCCAGGAGATGTTGTCATAATTCATCGGGTGAAAGTTTCAACTTTTCGTGGCAAATTACAAGGATATTCCAGTGAATATTCTGGTTCTGCAGCTGTTGTTTTTCCAGGAGATGATTCAAACCCACCCTCTCCGTATGATAGTATTTGCAAATGCAGTGTAACCTTTTCGTTTTTTCCTTTTCATTTCGTTTATATTTTAGTTTTCAGACGAAGATCTTTCAAGAGTAACCGAATTAAAGAACTGGTATAATTCACCGGAATGTCCCATTGAGAAAGAAATTTTACCTATTCCTCCCAAAGTAAGGTTAATTTCTTTTTATATTTCCCTTTAGTCGACTACAAACGTGGATATACACAATCTCACACGATTTCATGACATGAGCCCTAACGCATTTTTTAATACGGTTGCTGAAGTTGTTGGGGTCTATACCTATCCAGAGGATAAAACAACAGATATCATTCTATGTCTCTGGGATGGGGAACCTTCGACAGACAGTCAAAACCTTCCGTTTTTTAACCATCTCGACTTAGAGCGACCACCTTCGATGGATAGAATGACAGTGGATCCCCATTTGGTTTGTGTCACCGGTCATTCCCTTCATCCACCGGAATCCGATTGGTCTGTGTGCGTCTTTGTCTTCGATGAACACGCAATTGCTGCGAGAAATCTCAAACCTGGGGATTTGGTTCGGTTGCATAATGTGCACTGTGTACTCAAATATAACGTAAGTAAGTCATTTCCTAATTCTCCCAGGCGGCAGGTACTTAACGAAATGTTGCCATGCCCGAAATATTGTTTTTACCCTATCTGTGAACGTGATGAAGGAAGTAGAAGAGGCGAACAGATTTTAACGTTATTTTTACTCTTCTAACATATTTTAGATAGGATTTTTTGATGAGGGTGTCGTTGAGGCTGGGAGGTAGTTCTCTTAATTCGGTTCGTTCACTGCGAAGGCTGAATAGAGAGAAAGATGTTTGTAACAACCTGATTGACTAGCGGTTTTCCTTGATGAGGGTCGAGAGAAGATAGCGAGTGATGAAGTGCTAGAAGTTAGAGTGGTAAACTTGAACTAGTGAGACCTGTCTCATTCAAGGAATAAATAAGCAGATGCAAAGGCCTGATGAGTCATATTCTCTTTGAGATGACACCTCGATTTGTTATGACTTATACTTCTATTCATTCATTTTGGATGTGGTGTCGTAGAAACTTTGCCTTGTTCAATTTCGAAGAAAATATACTTGGGATAAACCCTAAGACATAACCATTTCGTGCACTATTGTTTTGTATATGGGTACAATGGGTTTAGGAATTTTGCGGCTTGGGATGGTTGGATGTTGAATCATTTCAGATTCTGTGGTAAATACCTGGCGATCCCCCAAGGATCAGTAGAAAATCTAATTTTAAAGACCACATTTGGACATCGGTGGTCATGGAACTTTATTAGGGCTCAATTAAGGATCACGAAGAGGACTTGTGTCTCATTTATTATGAAGACGGCCTATGGCTCTGAAAGAGAGTTTGAAGCCACATTGGGAGATTAAGCATTTATAGTTCTTTTTCTAGTCAAATGATAACAATTTGTAGTTAATGTAATTATTTGTTTCAAGAGGACAGAGTAGGATAGTAAGCATAGATCAAGCTTCGAATTTTCCATAATCGTTCGCTTACGGTTTTCTGAAAGCCTCCGTTACAGCCTATCTAGGTTGGTGCCTACATTCACTATACTATATGGATTGCACGCCTCGGCGTGTCTTTCAGTGTCAGGTCAAAATGTGATTTTTCTTGATTCCATTTTTAGCCGAGTCGACGGAAGGTAGATATGCATGGAGGTGGAAAGAACTACGGTAGAAGAATCGAAGTTTTAACGCGTGAGGATGTATCGAAGGAATTCTTGAAGAGGCTTGAGCACGGCAGGCTTAAAAGACAATCAATTTACTCTTGTTCTTCAAATCCCGCAGAAATTATTACATTACCGGTGGTGAGGAATGTGTTTAACAAATGTGCTTTAAATTCCGTATTCTAATTCAGGAATAGTGTTTTCGTCGTGCTTACTGTTGTGATCATAATGTCTTCCTAATATTTCTCGGCCTAAGTTGCTCCTGTGGACTTGTAGCAGACACGTGGTAGACTCTTAATCACTACGCGCTACATTTTTTCATCTTGTTAAAGTTTGCTTATTGGAATGAAGAGCTTCTAGCGTTAGCGACGATTTGCGGAAAACGTGGCTTATGTAAGGACCTATTGAAGACGTGTGATTAGTATAATGGTTGACCAAAAGACTTGGTTCTCTCGTGTTGATTTACGTGTTTGCAGGTTTGGCCTACTTCCCATCCCTCAGTGCTTGATATCTTATAGCTATCCCGTTCATTCGCCGTCTCTTTTCCTTTTAAGGGTCTCTTTATTCTTGGGGAATGCTGGTCTTATGTCCTTAACTCGAAAGGTTTGTTGCAAATCACCTGCCTTCAATTTCTTCAACCACGTTCTCACTCTAGGTCGTTTGGAGTTCCCATTTATTTGTAATCAGCTGACTATTTGTTCACCTAAATTCAACTATTGAGTTGGAATTGCTTACTGACATTTATTGGTACCAAAGCGTTTTGCTTTTTTCCTGTTTCTTTTATTTGCTGAAGTGATAAATTTGTTTTTAGACCAAAATCTCCGAAATTCCTCTGTCCCCCTCTCATTCAACTTCATCCGAAGAACCCTCTACTCTCCGTGTGCGAGTATGTGGTCGAATCATCGATGTTGGCCCATCCAAACCCGAAAATATATTTCAGCACCTTCTCCTCAAGTGTGGAAACTGTAGCAGAAGCAAACTTTTAACTTCATCTGGTGACTGGTAACCATGAGCTTAGTTACAATTTTAATCAATTCTTTATTTTAATACGTTTGTTTGTTTGTTTTTCAGCCAGGATTGTGAATGTGGAGCACTTTCTAATCCCAGTGTTATGCCCTTTTTCTTTATCTCGCTTCAAGATGTTTCCAAACGACTTCGTGTAGTGGTTACAACCTCCGCGATTAGGACTCTTCTTGGCAGTAAATTTGATGATTTCTACTCCGGTTTAAAGGCTATTCCAAACGAGGTGGATGAAGGTATGCGGTCTCGAAACGCCGCGAAAACCTTGGAGATTTGGACTGCTTGTGTTGTGGGTGGCTGGATCGATGCTGTTCTGACTATTCAACCAAATAATAATGCCGATCTTCCGATCTTGGTCGTCTTTGATGGTTAAGTGGGATGATCCCGCTTTTTATTCAGATAATTTTTTCTCTTTGTTTTGTACTCATACGCGTAATATGTATGCCTTCCAAATAGCTTACAGGTTTCCAGAACTCTTTAACAATTTAGTATATATGTAACATTTATAAAAGTTAACATTAACTCTTAATTTGCTTTTTATCTGATATAAAGGCGTTCTTTTTGTACAAACTGCTGATTTTCGATAAAGTTGATAAGATCCAGGTCAAGAGGAAATGGTGCCGAGAAATGATAGGGCGAACTATGTTGTGGTTGCGCATTTCCCCCAACCTACATTTGCTTAATCTAAATGGATGAGAACGTGGCAGCCACAGATAGTCAACACTAATCGGGTTTAGTGTACCTCCGCGCCGATTGATAGAAAAAAGCGAAGCGTAGCCCAACTGACTTTGAGTTGTTGTGTGTTCTGAATGAGTCCCTGTTAAGGAATGTTGTATAAGTAATGCAATTAACTATAGAAGGGCATAAAGTCCGAGGTGACAGTATGGACTAAGAAGCATGCGGTTTACCAACGTGCCGGTGGCGCCAATCTGCCTCCTTCCACCATCACCAACAAGAGCGGTAGCAACCGATAACTGTCAGGTCTGAGGTGTTTAATGAAGTCTCAGTTTGGCTTCCTTTTGTCCGTCAAGATTGTGTGCCTTCTTCTGACATTTGGGGTCATTATTATGTTTTTTCTGGGGGGGGGTGTTCTCAAAGGTGGTCTCTGGGTTGCCCATCAGCTTCACAAAAGCGCAAGAGCACACCTTTCTCGACTGCTTTACTGCTAGTGGAGATTAAAACAACCTTGGGAATGACGTTGTTTTCACCTTTATCATCAATATTTTGACATGTTTGAGTGCGATACGACCCACTGGTGGGTCATTGCATATTTAAGTTGGTGTTATTGCCATTTCCAGCACAGTCCTTGTAGATGATATAATGTATAAATGTTTGAAATAATAGAAAATGTGCGTTCAACTCTTTCATTTGAATACCAGAGGAACTGACGCTGTAGCAACCCAAACATAATCGCACCAGCGGACAGTCGGCGGTTTCGACCATCGCATTCAGCATGTTAGGGGCCTGTATTCTCGTACAAGTTTTTAAGCTAACTGCACTCCTGGTTTATCTCCCTTTCTGGCCTGAGTCAACTGTAGGGTAGTGCTGTCTAGTCGACAGATGAATGCTAGCAGCATCATGGTCATGTAATAGACCATGATTTCACAAAGATTGACTGCTGAGTTTGGGATTGATAATTGTTCGATCGAGTCCATTGACATGTCGTTAAAATGGAAAGCAGCAGAAAATCTGCCACCTATGTTCGTCTTATTAGCGCATTATTAATGCCACATATCAATTTGACGTCGACTTCTGATCAATAAACGCGCCTTGACTACGGTTTGCTCAGCTTATTACACTCGTTTATGCATATGTCAATACAATACCAAACCATAGAAAAAGGCATTTATCTTCTAAAATCATTCAATTCCTCTTCTAGCTTTGAGTGTATTGGAGCTGATTGTTAAATGGATGTAGGACGTGTCTTTGTCAACCTTGGTAGTTTTCTATTGCAGAAACCTTTTTCCAGACCAAGAAAAATTTACGTTTTCAATATTGCGTTGAGTGTGAATCGAATCAATTCGGCATGTGAACTTTACGCGCAAGAGTATGTATTTCCCATGATAGGCAATACTGGAAACCTAGATCGCGTGGTCGTTTGCAATCCTTCAAGCCAACTTAGAAGGCCTTTTAACAGTTCATTAAGAGTAGTTATACAGAGAGAGAATCAAATTCTCTTTATTCCCGTTCATTCCACTGATAATGCACAGATGAGCATGTAATTTACGCACTCCACTGTCGAAGATAAGCACATTAACCGAACTTGAACTGGAGCACAATAAAAAAACCATTTAACATTGCTTTGTATTCCCACTTTCTAAAGTTGTTTGCTAGTCCTTCTCAAGTTTTTATTCAGACCTGGGAATATTTCCTTTTTTGTCAAGTGTTCCTCGGTCATCCACACCACCTACGGATTATTTTCCTACCCATGAGTACTATTAACTAATGAACTGATGTCTCTTACGATTCTCCTTTAATTCATACATTCGGTCAGCATATTTTGTTGCTTTTCTGTCTTGTTTGTTGCGAAGATCGCGTAAGGTAGAAAGACGTGAATTTGGAGCGATTTGAAATAAAGCAAGATTCGACTAACAGGGACGTAGTCTACTAAGGTGTGCTCTCTCTGAAGACTTCTGAACCAATATAAGTACCAGACCGCAAAACTTCACATGATTCCCAACTGGGTTGCACTCTCTGGACCTCTACTTTATAAATCTAAACTAGTCCCCATTGAACGTTTACCTAATATTATCGTGCTCTGAATCAACTGGTTCCACCTGATATGCCTTGCGGCATGACAATTTTCCCGCCGACTTCTCTAAGTCTTATGCCCCTTCGATTTAGCTGTGTGTACAGTATCTTGTAAACCCCCCCCCCCAACCCCACCCCATCGGTATTCTATACGATTAGATATTTGCTGTAGCCTATATTTTACAAGGGGGGTGCACGATTGACTTGTCTCCACATGATGCACCCTGGGAAACGTATACTCATACGACAAAAAAGTCTATAAACCGACAATTGACTTCAAACTACCACGACCCAGCTGTATGTCATATTCAACAACTTACAGTACTCACCTTACCTTTGTGTCTGTCTGTCTGTCTCTTTTACTCCTGTGAATCATTATTCAGTCCTTCCTCTCGACTTTTTGTCACTTTAAAGTTCCTTCCCTCTGTGATGTCCAAAGTCAAGTAATGGGCTAATGATAACTATCGTATAAATAAATAGTTAACAACTAGAACTATTAGGTGGGCAACTAAGTCATTGCCGATTTCAAATAAGAAGGCAAATTCGGAATTTTTGTTTAAAAATATAACTTTATTCAATTAGGTATTGGCCGTTCTTGTCGATGACCTTTTTCCATCGTTCTGGCAGAGTAAACATTCCCCGTTCGTAAAATGTCTGGTCTTTGCTATTAAAAAACTGAATTAGGTGTGATCCGACATCATCCGCGTTGTTACAAATTTTACCATTTAAAGAGTTTTGCATGGAACGAAACAAATGGTAATCCGAAGGCGCAAGGTCAGGGCTATATGGTGGGTGTGACAAAACATCCCAACCCAGTTCCAATAATTTTTGCCGAGTAACCAAAGATGTGTGGAAAACAACACCCTTCCGATTTGATAATGCCGGTCGCTTATCTTCAATTGCATCCTTCAGTTTTTCGAGTTGATCAACATACACATTTGAATTTATCGTTTGGTTCTGCGGCATGAGTTCAAAATACAAAATTCCTTTGTGATCCCACCAGACTGACAGCATCATCTTTTTTTGGTGAATCTCTGCTTTTGATACTGTTTGGGGTGGCTGATCTTGCTTCACCCATGATCTCTTGCGAGTAACATTGTTATAAACTATCCACTTTTCGTCGCCAGTAACTAGGTTCTTCAGAAATGGATCATTCTCATTGCGTTTCAGTAGCGGCGAATCACAGATGCTAATCCGTTGCGTCAAATGAATTTCCTTTAACTGGTGAGGGATCCATAAACCAAGTTTCTTGACATAACCAAGGGTTTTTAATTTTTTTTCAATGCGCATGTATGCGACACATTGAGCTTCTCTGCAATATCTCGTGTTGTGCTGTGACGATTTGAATCGATAATGGCCTTGATATGGGTTTCATCCACTTCGACTGGGCGGCCAGATCGTTGTGAGTTTTTCAGTGAAAAATCACCGGAACGAAATCTTTCAAACCAATTTCGACACTGCCTTTCTTTTAAGGCTTCATCTCCATATACGGCACATAACTTCTTTTGTGCTTGCGATGCGTTCTTGCCTTTTCGGAAGTAATACAATAAAATGTGTTGGAAGTGCACGTCCTGTTCTTTCATTTTTAAATTGGGATAAAAACAAAACTAAAGAATTAAACAAAAAAATTTTTTACTAATTAACCTTGAAGCCCATACAGTAAGAAAAAAATATAGGTTAGATGCTCTGGCCACGCTAACAAAACAAAAGAAAGTATAGAGTGAATCCGTCAACAAAAACGGCAATGACTTAGTTGCCCACCCAATAGTTCCACTTCCTGTGCTGACGTCAATTCATTGACTTCCTGCCTTATCTACTAGTTTCTTTCGTGATAATGATCCTTGGTGGTTCATGCGCTGTTGAACTAATTAAAACTGATCTCCTTTTAAACTCCAGGGGTACAAAGAGGAATATATTTAGGGCAAAATTTATTGTTATTCAATAACAGACACCTCAAAGTGAAAGAGTGCATAAATGGTCCAGCATTATTTCAAAGCCAAAATAGTAGGCTGTTGAAAGTCGATAATAGCAACAGTATTAACCCACTCAACGGCATTAGGATTTCGCTAATTTGGAAATAAAAAATTAGTTATTTTGAAATGAGTATATGGTAATATTGAGTTATAACAGGTGAACATACCGCTTCGGGTTCCTTTAATTCCATTCGATAGATATTTCCATCCCTAGCTAAAATCAATAAGACGATTAGTCCATTAAAACAAAAACATTCAATTACTCTAACTAATGCATAACACTGGGTAGCTGTGACCTCAGTTGATTAGTAAGTAAAATCCATAAAATTTTATGGTATTTCCTGATACTCCTCTCTCTGTACAGAGAGTAATCAACTGCTTTCAGTGAAAGCTTTGACAATACCTGAAACTGCTTCGCCATAAGCACATTTGGTAACTATGTTGACGCCCCATTACTAATGCATTGTAGTGGGTAATTAGCTGATTAATGTTAATAGTATCCGAATTAGAAATACTATAATTAGAAATAAATTAAAGTAATCTAATCAAAGTTACTCTTAGTAGGAAATTAAGGTTTAACTTGTTTAAATTTTGAAAAGACTAGAAAATGTAACGACCACAAAGGAGGTCGAATTTGGAAGGTGAATCCCATGAAGAATTATATTTCTCCATACAAACAATATAATTTTTTGTCGTCGGGTAAATGAGTACTGCAAGAATAATTTGAAAAGAAGAAGGCCGCGAAAATAATGGGAAAAATTGTCATGACGAGCAATGGGACGAGAAGAAGAGATTAATTTGAAGGAATTTTTGACTTGAAATCGCAGTTGATCTAATAATTCTGGAGCTCAGGTGTTGTATGATTCTCTCAATCGCCTAAACCCCACGCTTTATACCCACTCCATAATTCCCAATTAAGTGTAAGTATGTAGCCTTTTTTGCTAACACTTTAACTTCCTACAAGTTGCACTCTTTGTCTCAGGACAGCCACAGTAGCCTGTCTGTCTAATCTTTCATTATGCGGCCACCCTTTGTTCGACATCTTGACCGCTTGTCTGGACAAAGAGCCTACATCGATATGGTGGTGGTTTGACCTTCAAACGCCAAATAGATTAGAATGAAAGAAATAGCGTTATATTTATTAACGTGGGACGGCACTACGCGTTTGAAACCTTGACAGTTGGTATCGCTATGAGGTATTATCATTTCGCTGGTGAGCCGACCTTCATACCTCTTCCAGCCGAAACGTTAATTTTTTTAATCTAACTGCTCTGTGTGGTAAAACTGAATCGAGAAGCATGACCAAAGAGAGATGTTAATCAACTTTAAATGACGGGAAATCGATGCATCAATTAGTTTGATAGTCGATGATCAAGATAGAACAGTAGGACATACTAATGTGAGCTCTCCTACATAATAGAATAAGGACAGATCAGTGTTCAGAATTCAAACAAAGTAAGAACCGTGGTGATTTGTCTTCGGCTTCATCTTTTGCTACCCCTTCCCTCATCTCAAACTTTATTGGAATTGTTATTCAGATGCTCACTCTTTGCTAATTCCTAAATTGTCTTTTCAGTGACATGAACAATAAACACTGTAAATAGACCTCTTGAAATTAGATACGTCCTGAAGCGAACCATTTAAACTGATATGAGTGGTAAAAGTGAACTTCGTATTAAAAAATTCTTACTTGAAAGCATTACTTGATCCTCTGAGACAGCCATAGACCAGAGGTATTCATCCTGAGGCGAATTTCTCACTGGTATCAATGTCCATTGCCCGTGAGCCCCAGGCTGAATGGTGAGCATATCAACGGAGAAGTCATTTAAACTGATCACATAGGCTCTTTCATTGTGATACACTCCCCTAGCGAAAACTCGGGAATGCTGCATGGAGGTGTATTGCTCCCATTTCCAATCAATTCCCTTCTTGATTAGAAGTTCACATGTTGATAGGCCCTCAGAATCTAAACTTATTTTTTTTGACCCACCGACTACTAGAATTCCAACATTGGGGATGTTTATAGCAGCACAGGCTCTTCTCGCTGTTGGCATGTTTGGCAATAGGGTCCAGCTGAAATCCATCAGCTATTAATGTTGTTGCTACTCATAATTAACCAGTAGAATATACACTTATTTTGAAATAATCAAAACGAAACACAAAATAGCAAAACATAAACAATCGGGTGATAAAAAGCATTAAATTCGAGTTGACTTAGCAGGCGCTCAATGTAGTCACAGATTATCGAGGTGGTTACTTAATATAAAGTGACTGAGCCGCGGTCATGATTAACTTTTCCCCTACCCCCATATCGGGGCTAGAAGCATTCGGCATGTTGTAGATTATAATTATCTTACTCCACACCTGTCTCATCTGTTTCCTAATTAGCTAATTGATCCAACTATTATCTAATACATTTACTCGAACTCCCCCCTACCCCCAGAGAACCCTATTTTTCAATTTATTTGTTTTATGATCCTCTACGTTTTTTCTCAATGTTCAGTGGTGACTGTGTTCTGGCAGTCGAATGAGACACTATCTTAGTAATCACCATCTTATAATTGTATCTTCCTAGTGTTAATTAATATTGCTTTGCAGTCTTGTCGTGGCTATGTCTTCCAGTTCACTAAAAAGCATTTCTAATGCAGTGGAATTATTAAGTGCTTGTTTACTCATGGAGGCACTATAAGTATCAATGTTCAAACTAGCGGGTGAATAGCCAGTGGGCGTAGGAGAATGGTTTTAGAGATTTGATCCTTGTGTTTTGGGACTTTTGCTGGTCCATTTCTCAACTCAAAAGAATATTTCAGCTACCTTTTAAAAATTTCCCTTTAAGAAGCGTATAGTGGCTTTAATGCTTTTCCCATTCGGTGAGTTTAACCACACCTATTCTGAGATAAACGAGCAACAGGAAATCGGATATTGAAACTCTTGGTTGATTACTATGTTTGATGAAGTGGTGTCTTCATGGTGCTACAATAGTATTACGTTCTTCTTTTCCACAATCATCGAAAGCTCTACTTTCCATCGGCTTTGCTGAAATTTACATTCTTGTCTATTTTTTCCATTAACCCCCTTGGCATCTTTATGGATATGCCCTAGCCATAATTGCATATAATCTTCTCATCGATTTCATCTTGTATGAGATTTGGTGCTAGGGTATTCGGGAAGAAGATTCTAGTACTTGAAGACAATGCCTTCTTTCCAAATATCTCAGAGCATTTAGATTAGCTGGGTTCTAACACAATATAACACTGCAAGAACGTGATCCCACTGTCAGCCTTCACACAGTGCAGTAACTCTGCTGTTATCGGGCACCCTTAATATTATTATAGAAATGGATCGTAACAGAACATTGACTCTCAATAAGATTTACATTCATTTTGATTGGCAATTGTGGTCTATAAAAAGCAGCAAAAGTCTGACAAGTAGCTCTTCACCACTAACAATGATACTAAACATTTTAAATATATATGAACTTCACCAAAGCAGTAATCCTTTCGGACTCAGTCAGCAATAAACTCAATTGGAAACAGAGAGCCAAACAAAACAGTTGAGCTATAAGAATGTAAAAAAAACTCTATCAGCTGCTGAAAGAAAAAAACAAAACAGTGATCTTACAATGGATTCCTGGTCACTGTGACATTAAAGGCAATGAGCTTGCTGACACACTTGCTAAGAAGAGGACAACAATTTTGCAGGACATAGACCGGCAGACGTCTTTCCACATAATAAAGGCCTTAATCAGGAGAGAATTCAAGACCTCAAGGTGCAACAAACTTAAAGCTCGAACAAAGGAGAAACAGTGGACAGTGGCACTCTCCGAAGCCGTTGCTGAGGTTAGACTACGTACCGGACACAATTGCCCGGCAAAACACCTTCACAGATTAGGAGTATACACTCAGCCAACATACCCCCTATGTAACCTACAGGAGGAAATGGAGAAGAAAGACCTGTTTCGGTGTTCAGCTCTAAAGACAACGACGGAAACCCAGAGATACTGGGAAGAGAGAAGACAACTTATGAATTGCTATTAATTAACTGCTATATATGTACCCCCACCCATGAGGAAAG